AAATAAATAAATAAATAAAAATAAAAATAGAAGAAAAAAATGGATGACTTGAGCCCAGGACTTTGAGACCAGCCTGGGCAACAGCAAGACCCCATCTCTCAAAAAATTTTTAAAATTACAGATGTGGTGGCGTGTGGCTGTAATCCAGCTACTCAGGAGGCTGAGGCAGGAGAATCCCTTGAACCCAGGTGGTGGAGGTTGCAGTGAGTCAAGATCACGCCAGTGCACTCCAGCCTGGGCGACAGAGCAAGACTCAAAAAAAAATATTAACCCAGTGTGGTGGTGTGCACCTGTGGTTCTCACTACTCAGGCGGCTGAAGCAGGAGGATCTGCTGAGCCAAGGGAGTTTGAGGATGCAGTGAGCTATGATCACACAACTGCACTCTAGCCTGGATGACAGAATAAGACCCCACCTTATTCTGTATTAAAAAAGAAGAAGAAGGAAAAAAAAATACTCTATATAGCATATGTCTACTACATCTGAATTGCCAAGCAGCCTAATTTGGGGTTAGAAAAAGATTAAAATAAACTTTTCCTAGTATTTCAGTTTTTAACTCAACGGTTCCATTTTACTCAAACCCACTCTGTCACTATTGGAACACTTTGTTGTAATGAGTCAGCGCCAGCCATTAGTGTGAGGGGAGCTTGCTGAGGGTGAGGTGTTAAGGAGGAAGAGAAGAGAAGCACAGTCATTGTCAGAGCCTTGACATTTGCATAAATACCTATGCACAGGTGGGGCATGGTGGTTCCCATCTGTAATCCCAATACTTCGGGAGGCTGAGGCAGGTGGATCACAAGGTCAGGAGTTTGAGACCAGCCTGGCAAACATGGTGAAACCCCATCTCTACTAAAAATACAAAAATTAGAACAGGGCACGGTGGCTCACACCTGTAATCCCAGCACTTTGGGAGGCCAAGGTGGGTGAATCACCTGAGGTCGGGAGTTCAAGACCAGCCTGACCAACATGGAGAAACCCCCTCTCTTAAAAAAAAAAATTTCCTGGGTATGGTGGTACATGCCTGTGATCCCAACTACTTGGGAGGCTGAGGGAGGAGAATCACTTGAACCCAGGAGGTGGAGGTTTCAGTGAGCTGAGATTGTGCCACTGTACTCCAGCCTGGGAGACAGAGTGAGACTCCACCTTAAACAAAAACAAAACAAAAAAAAACCCAAAACTTTAATAAAACAAATAGTAGCTTGTGTGTAACCACCCAAGGGGTTCACCTTGCCCATAGCCTAGGCAGCGCAGATTCATCAAGACATGGGAATTCCAACAGAGAGAGTAATTCACGTAGAGTTTGCTGTGTGGCAGACCAGAGTTTTATTATTATTATAATTTTTTTTTTTCGAGATGGAGTCTCACTCTGTCACCCAGGCTGGAGTGCAGTGGCATGATCTTGGCTTACTACAACCTCTGCCTCCCGGGTTCAAGCAATTGTCCTGTCTCAGCCTCCCAAGTAGCTGGGACTACAGGCTCGCGCCACCATGCCCAGCTAATTTTTGTACTTTTTAGTAGAGATAGGGTTTCGCCATGTGGGCCAGGATGGTCTCGATCTCTTGACCTTGTGATCTGCCTGCCTCGGCCTCCCAAAGTTCTGGGATTACAAGCATGAGCCACCGTGCCCGACCTGTATTTTTAGCAGAGACAGGGTTTCACCATGTTGGCCAGGCTGGTCTCAAACTCCTGACCTCGTGATCTGCCTGCCTCAGCCTCCCAAAGTGCTGGGATTACAGGTGTAAGCCACTATGCCCAGCCAGCATTTTTTTTTTTTGAGACGGAGTTTCACTCATGTTACCCAGGCTGGAGTGCAATGGCGCGATCTCGGCTCACCGCAACCTCCGCCTCCTGGGTTCAGGCAATTCTCCTGCCTCAGCCTCCTGAGTAGCTGGGATTACAGGCACGCGCCACCATGCCCAGCTAATGTTTTGTATTTTTAGTAGAGACGGGGTTTCACCAGGTTGACCAGGATGGTCTCGATCTCTTGACCTCGTGATCCACCCGCCTCGGCCTCCCAAAGTGCTGGGATTACAGGTGTGAGCCACCGTGCCCAGCCAGCATTTTTTTTTTTGAGACGGAGTTTCACTCATGTTACCCAGGCTGGAGTGCAGTGGTGCGATCTTGGCTCACCGCAACCTCCGCCTCCTGGGTTCAGGCAATTCTCCTGCCTCAGCCTCCTGAGTAGCTGGGATTACAGGCACGCGCCACCATGCCCAGCTAATGTTTTGTATTTTTAGTAGAGACGGGGTTTCACCAGGTTGACCAGGATGGTCTCGATCTCTTGACCTCGTGATCCACCCGCCTCGGCCTCCCAAAGTGCTGGGATTACAGGCTTGAGCCACCGCGCCCGGCCCCTAGCATTTTTTTTTTAATTGAGATGGAGTCTTGCTCTGCCACACAGGCTGGAGTGCAGTGGCCCAGCTCTCAGCTCACTGCAACCTCCAACTTCCACCTCCTGGGTTCAACTGATCCTCTCACCTCAGCCTCCTGTGTAGCTGGGACTACAGGTGCACACCACCATTCTCATTAATTTTTGTATTTTTAGTAGAGACGGGGTTTCACCATGCTGGTGAGGCTGGTCTTGACCTCCTGGCCTCAAGGGATCCCCACACCTTGGCTTCCTAAAGTGCTGGGATTACAGGCCACTGAATATTTAAATAAGCTTCAGAACACACTAAGAAATGAGTGGAAAGCTAGGACATTGTCCTTTAACAGCAGTAAGATATTTGCACATGTGACCAGGTGCAGTGGCTCACACCTGTAATCCCAGGACTTTGGGAGGCCAAGGCAGGTGAATCACCAGAGGTCAGTAGTTTGAGAGTAGCCTAGCCAACAATGCAAAACCCCATCTCTACTAAAAATACAAAAATTAGCCGGGCATGGTGGTGCATGCCTGTAATCACAGCTAACTCTACTTGGGAGGCTGACACAGGAGAATCACTTAAACCTGTGAGGTGGAGATTGCAGTGAGCCGAGATTGCACCACTTCACTCCAGCCTGGGCAACAGAGCGAGACTCTGTCTCGAAAATAAATAAATAAATAGCTTAGTGTGAATATCTGATTATTGGATTGTACCTCATTATATTTAAGAAAAATGGGCTGGTCGCAGTGGCTCACGCCTGTAATCCCAACACTTTGGGAGGCCAAGGCAGGTGGATCACCTGTGGTAGGGAGTTCAAGACCAGCCTGACCAACGTGGAAAAACCCGTCTCTACCAAATATACAAAATTAGCCAGGCGTGGTGGCGCATACCTGTAATCCCAGCTTACTGGGAGGCTGAGGCAGGAGAATTGCTTGAACCCGGGAAGCAGAGGTTGTGGTGAGCTGAGATCGCACCACTGCACTACAGCCTGGGCAACAAGAGCAGAACTGTCTCAAAAAAAAAAAGAGAGAAAAAGAAGAATGGTTATGGGGTGGCTATCCCATGGTGATGCATTATGGAAAGAAAATGAGAACTGCTAATTTTTTTTTTGTAGGACCCGATATCTGTGGATTTGATATCAAGAAAGTTCATGTTATTTTACATTTCAAGAATCAGTATCATGAAAACAAGAAATCAATCAGGTGTAAGGTAAGTGCTCTTGTGTACAAATAAATGAGTGTTAACTCTTGCCTGATGATAACTCAGTTATCTTAAGATAACTTAACTGAGCCAGGGATGGGTCTTTGTAAACATACCTCCTATTCCCGGTTTCCAGTTTAGGGGCCCGTCAGAGATACTTGTCTTCTTGACTGGTTTCCTGAAGTCTTTACCCCAAAGTGAGAGGAGGGCACTCTCATTTTTTACTGTGAGCCAGAGCTCACAGTATCTGAGCCAAATGACATATCATCATTTGCCCTAGGAGGGTTACAATAGGACAGTCACATCCATCCTCATTTCAGCCACATCCATCCTCATTCATGAATGAAATATTTAGGATGAAAAAGCATTCTGGAGAAATGGCCTGGCGCAGTGGCTCACACCTCTAATCCCCACACTTTGGGTGGCTGAGACAGGAGAATCACTTGAGCCAAGGAGTTCCAGACCAGCTTGGGCAACATGGTGAAACCCTGTCACTACAAAAAATACAAAAATTAGCCAGGTGTAGTGCTAGGAACCTGTGGTCCCAGCTACTCAGGAGGCTGAGATTCAAGGATCACTTGAGCCCGGGAGGTCAAGGCTGCAGTGAGCTGTGATTGCACCACTGCACTCCAGCCTGGGCAACAGAGTGAGACCCTGTTTCTAAAATACATACATACATACATACATGCTGCATATTTAGACCTGCATTAAAACATTGAGGGGCGGGGTGTGGTGGCTCATGCCTGTAGTCCTAGCACTTTGGGAGGCCAAGGCAAGTGGATTACCTTAGGTCAGGAGTTTGAGACCAGCTTGAACAACAGGGAGAAGCTTCGTTTCTACTAAAAATACAAAAAATTAGCCAGGCGTCATGGTGAATGCCTGTAATGTCAGCTACTTGGGAGGGTGAGGTAGGAGAATCGCTTGAGCCTGGGAGGTGGAGGTTGCAGTGAGCCAAGATCACCCTATTTCCCTCTAGCCTGGGCAACAAGAGCAAAACTCCATCTCAAAAAAAAAAAAAAAAAAAAAAATCGATGGTTGGCCAGGCACAGTGGCTCACACCTATAATCCCAGCACTTTGGGAGGCCAAGGCAGGTGGATCACCTGAGTTCAGGAGTCCCAGACCAGCCTGGCTGACATGATGAAACTCTACTAAATACAAAAAATTAGCCAGGCATGGTAGCAGGTGCCGGTAATCCCAGCTTCTCCGGAGGCTGAGGGAAGGAGAATCGCTTGAACTCAGGAGGCAGAGGTTGCAGTAGCTGAGATTGCGCCACTGCACTCCAGCCTGGGCAACAGAGCGAGACTCCATCTCAAAAAAAAAAAAAGAATTGAGGGTTTGTTATGCTTTTCCCCTTAAAATGTGCAGGTTGATGGCTTTACACACCTCTACACTCTAATTTTAAGACCAGATCTTTCTTATGATGTGAAAATTGACGGCCAGTCGATTGAATCCGGCAGCATAGAGTATGATTGGAACTTAACATCACTCAAGAAGGAAAAGTCCCTGGCAGAATCGAAGGACCGGAAGCTAACTGAAGACAACAAAGCCCAGGTGTGAATTTTTCCTGCGCAACTCTAGAAAATGCACAAATAGGCCTGGCACGGTGGCTCACGCCTGTAATCCCAGAACTTCGGGAGGCCAAGGCAGGCGAATCATGAGGTCAGGAGTTCAAGACCAGCATAGCCAATATGGTGAAACCCCGTCTCTACTAAAATATACAAAAATTAGCCGGGTGTGGTGGCGCACACCTGTAAGCCCAGCTACTCAGGAGGCTGAGGCAGGAGAATTGCTGGAACCTGGGAGGTGGAGGTTGTAGTGAGCTGAGATTGTGCTGCTGCATTCCAGCCTGGGTGACAGAGTGAGACTCGGTCTCAAAAAAAAAAAGAAAGTGCACAAATATGGTTTGTAAGTACCCAGTTACTGGACAATTGCTGCATGGCTGGCAGCCACGATGGCAATATTGTACCACCAAATGCCCTCCCCAGAGCACACAATGGAGACCAGCCACATCTCTACACATCTGGGTATCATAAAAGAGTTGGTTGTTGGCCGGGCGTGGTGGTTCACCCCTGTAATCTCAGCACTTTGGGAGGCTGAGGCAGGCGGATCACCTGAGGTCAGGAGTTCAAGACCAGCCTGGCCAACATGGTGAAACGCTGTCTTTAAAAAAAAAAAAAAGAAAAAAAAAAGAGTTGGTTGTTTTTGAGACAGAGTTTAGCTCTGTCACCCAGGCTGGAGTGCAGTGGTGTGATCTCAGCTCACTGCAACCTCCATCTCCCAGGGTTTCACCATGTTGGTCAGGCTAGTCTCGAACTCCTGAACTCAGATGATCTGCCTGCCTTGGCCTCCTGAAGTGCTGGGATTACAGGCGTGAGCCACCGCCCCCGGCCATCACCCTCACTTTTTGCACCATCATTTTCACCCTGGCCACTACTTGAGGTTTTCTATACCGCCGCTCCTCTCCACAGCATGGGGAAAAGGCTGAGGTCGTATGGCAGGTTAGGGAGAAAAAATTAGGCAGTCTGGTGTTGCCCTGAAGCCCTCAGTGGGATTGGAAACACCAAGCACTTGGCCTCCTAACCACCAAATTGAAGAAGGGAGAGGGACACTGGGACAGCGGTCACCAGCCTATGCCTGCCTCTTGGCATCTAGGAATTTATGGTCTTGGCTGGGTGCAGTGGCTCACACTTGTAATCCCGGCTCTTTGGGAGGCCGAGGTGGGTGGATCACCCGAGGTCAGGAGTTTGAGACCATCCTGGACAACATGGCGAAACCGCATCTCTACTAAAAATACAAAAATTAGCCAGGCATAGTGGTGGGTGCCTGTAGTTCCAGCTACTCAGGAGGCTGAGTCAAGAGAATCGCTTGAACTGGAAGGCAGGGGTTGCAGTGAGCTGAGATCATGCCATTGCACTCCAGCCTGGGTGACAAAAGCCAGACTCCGTCTCAAAAACATAAAAAGAATTTTCTGTCTTGGCCAGGCGCAGTGTCTCATATCTGTAATCCTAGCACTTTGGGAGGCTGAGGCAGGTGGATTGCCTGAGCTCAGGAGTTCAAGATCAGACTGGACAACACGGTGAAACCCCATCTCTACTAAAATACAAAAAACTAGCCAGCTGGTGGTGTGCAACTGGAGTCCCAGCTACTCAGGAGGCTGAGACAGGATAATTGCTTGAACCTGGGAGGCGGAGGCTGCAGTGAGCAGAGATCGTGCCACTGTACTCCAGCCTAGGTGACAGAAAGAGACTCCATCTCAAAAAAAAAAGAAATTCCTTCCTCGTATCTGAGCATCTGGCTGGGTACAGTGGCTCATGCCTGCAATACCAGCACTTCTGGAGGTCAAGGCAGGAGGATTGCTTGAGCCCAGGAGTTTGAGACCAGGCTGAGCAACAGAGGGAGACCCTGACTGTACAAAACATCAAAATAGGAGGCAGGCAAGGTGATGGGTGCCTGTAGTCCCAGCTACTCAGGAGGTTGAGGCGGAAGGATCCCTGGAGCCCAGGAGGTTGAGACTGCACTGAGCCATGATTATACTATGGCACTCCAGCCTGGGTGACAGCAAAACCTAATGTCAGAAAACAAAAACAGGCCAGGCATGGTGGCTCACACCTGTAATCCTAGCACTTTGGGAGTCCGAGGTGGGCAGATCACGGGTTCAAGAGATCGAGACTATCCTGGCCAACATGGTGAAACCTTGTCTCTACTAAAAATACAAAAATTAGCCAGGTGTGGTGGCACACGCCTGTGGTTCCAGCTACTCGGGAGGCTGAGGCAAAAGAATCGCTTGAACCCAGGCGGAGGTTGCAGTGAGCCAAGATTGCACCACTGCACTCCAGCCTGGGCGACAGAGTGAGACTCCGTCTCAAAAAA